AAAAGTGTAAGACAACTTACTATTTCTCCTTACATTATGTCACTACGTTTCGGCCTTAACATTAATATCTCTCCTGATTTATTCTAACAAAGATTCCCCATAACTCAGGGGTGCGAGAGATTCTATATTTCATTGAAATTTATTAAAACGAAACGTGCTTGTTCTGGGCAGTACGGAGAATATAATGTAGGTAAAATTATTATAGTAGAATTTGATATTTTAGAAATAATCTTTTGTCTACTTAATAAAACATGTGACCTCTTGTAACAATAAGAAATTAGACATTTTGAAATTCCCTTTGACACTGTATTTGACAAGATAAACCGACGGTCTTGTGAAGATTACCAGACCTGGATGCGGGCAGCGCAGAACCGAAACACACACAAAAATTGCAATCTACCTACGTAAAAAAGACAACACCGATAAGTAATAAAAACGAAAAAGCCTACATTTAATCTTAATTTAACCTGTCTATTGCTAGTGCAATCTTAGCAGTGGTAGGGTTAATACTGGGACGTATAAAAGTGCTTTTTAAAAGCCTACTTACAAAAATAAATATTTTTTCCCGACTCTATATTATTTGTTCCAAAATAGCACTTATTTATATCTACTTAAGATACCACAGCTTGACATGTCACGTCTGTACTTTTAACTGTATTGATTTTGTAGACCTTTTGTTCTTGTATCTTTCATTAAGTGGAAGTCGTAGTTGACCTAGTTGGGAGTTCAGTCCGTTAATTAGTAAACTGTGTCTGGGCTATTTTCATTAGTGATACGTAGTTATTTCGGTCAAATGGTTCATTATTTTAACTGCAAACTGAGCAGTTGATGGCACAAAACCCCGTATCAGACTTTATTAAAGAGGTTTTGCAAGATGTACACCCGTATTCACAAACGATGCTTGCTTAGTGAAGCAGCAAATCGAACGCACAGCGTTAAATAGAGCTCTGTGATTGGTTCGTGTGACACCCTGTGCGTTCACGCGCACTGTAAGTAAGTAAGACCTCATAGTAATGTTTGTAATACAAAACCCCGCATCATATTTTATTAAAGAGGTTTTACAAGGTCCAATCACACTGCTCTATGCTTCATTCTGTCATTTACAGAATTGCTTTCCGGCTTGCCCTTTGAAGCCTAATGTTGTTTGATTTTAATGCTCCATCTGGGAATCAAATCAAGGACCTTTAAGGTCAAGGGAACCCAACTCTAATAAATAAACTAGAGACGTTGTAACTATAGCACACTTAGGCTGAGTTGCACCACCTAACTTTGACCGTAGCTATAACGATAACCGGTGTTTTTTGTATGGAGTTTGACAGATTTTTGAGGTTTGTCAAAGTTAAAGTAAAATGGGGCAACCCACGCTAAGTTGCAAGCAAATTTTACTCCTACTTAAAATTAATAGCTTTATAAAACCAGGTGCTATACGTGCTGATTCTATCAGCTTAATATTAATTAAAATTACGCCTCCACGCTTAATAAACAGACACGTTTTCTATTTTAGCGAACAATTACTACCGTGGAAATAATTTCGGCGGGAACTTGTGAAAGTTGAAGTAAGGTTTATATGAATGGCAATGGTTTAATTGTTTGCACTTGAAGCAACGTCTTTGTAGCTAAGAAAGAAGAGGCAGTCTGTATAAAGCGTATTTTTGGTATAGCTTTTACCCACGTCTTTGAGTTAAAGTTGAGAAAACTGTCCTTACTTTTGACTATTGATGCATTAAGAGATATCCCGTTTTAGTATGAACTGTTTTTGCAGGATTCCTTTTAGTAGTACGTGAATTAATATTAAAGTTCAAACTAACATCCCATTTGCAGTGTCCCGCAAAAAAAACAATCCGTTCGAATTTGTAGCTTTAGACTGGGTTGCACCATCTCACTTAAACTGTAACAAACGTCAAAAATCTTTCAAACTCCATACAAAAAATCCCCGGTTGTCATTATAGTTACGGTTAAAGTTAGGTGGTGCAACTCAACCTTAGAATTTCAAACAATTTATGGCATGGCAATGGCATTTGTGTTCACATGGCAGGCCAGTTTTGTGGGATCCTTCATTACTGGAATGGCATGGGAACAAGCCCTTACAGAACTAATAGAAGCTTAAAACTCATTTTTAATTTCGTTCGTTCGTTCGTTTCAACCAAATGACGTCCACTGCTGGAAAAAGGCCTCCCCCAAGGTTTTCTACAATGAACGGTTCTGCGCTGCCCTCATCCAGGCTCTTCTCGCGACCTTTGCCAGATCATCGGTCCACCTAGTAGGAGGCCTGCCCACGCTACGTCTTCCAATTGAGATTTTAATTTAGGATGAATTTTTTTTAAGTCTTGCCAGTCAGGACAGACTCTATGACTGAGATAAAACCAAGCTTTGAGTATTGTTTTGTAATATGGACCCCAATATAATATTTACGAACTTCTGAGTTGATAGTCCAGGCTGTGTTTCTTGGGTAACGACAGCGTTAACTGAATAGGTCAAGGTAAAACTCAAATTATAAGGGTTAACGGCACGTGTAAAGTATAATATCATACCTTGTTACGGTACGGGTCTGACCTTAAGCGACGTTTATGAGAATAAGGAAAATTTTAATTAAGTTGTCTTTGAAGTTCAGTTGATTATTGGACCATTCTTTAATCAATCAGTTATTAAGCTATATTTCCTTGTTTCTAAGATTTTTGTCGTAGTTATGAGAATGGTATTATTTCTAACTAGCTTTCCGTCCGCGGCTTCGCCCGCGTGGAATTTTGTCTCCCACAGAAAATCTTTATCGCACGCGTCCTTGTTTCAAAATCCAGGATAAAAACTATCCTATGTCCTTTCCCGTGACTCAAACTATGTCCCTGCCTAATTTCATCAAAATCGGTTCAGTGGTTTAGGCGTGAAAGAGAGACAGACAGACAGACAGAGTTACTTTCGCATTTATAATATTAGTATAGATTACTTTTGTTGATGTGAAAATCTGAACTGCTTGAAGATTGGTAAATAATCGATCTGCTGAACATTTCATTATCCAATCCAATATTCTATTTGTGTCACTCATCAAGTAATCAGAAGGCTTAATAAAACGATGAACTTAATCCACAAAGCTTGCCCGTTACACACGAACAATATATTTTCGAAGATATTTTTAAACAAGCTTTTTATAGAATTCAAAGCTGTCATGTCTAATCCACTCTCACTCACGCCCCAGCCGTACATTTGACTGTAGCATCCCCCCACGATTATAAGGGCCATCTAATAAATTAAGACAATTTAATCCCGCGCCATACAAATCGCTTGCCTCATTTATTCTACGAATCCAGCTGGATCTGCCAAGTTTGCTCTTGGGGGTACAACTTCCAAGAGTCACTAATCTCGGCCTTATAAGAATGGCAATAAGAGTCTAGTGTAATTTTGCTGCATGTACAGATAATGTCATGAACATATGCCATTTGAAAAGGCACTTTAGAAACGACAAGGATTATGTAATTATTAGGTATTTTAATAATTATAAAATCACGCAGTGGTTCCATAGGCTTTACTTAATTTAAGTAGGTAACTATTTCATAGAAAAGTTATAAAGGCAAATCAAACCTTGAAGTAAAATTTTTTATGTATTTATTTAATATTGCCATAAAAAGAAATAGTCCTGAGAAATCACAGCACTCATTATAGTTGACAATAAAAAAAGTAATAACAGGTATGAATAGGTAGTAATTTGCATGAAAAAATTCTAACAAAAAGAGACTAATAAAGAAAACTGTTAAGAGAGCTGCGAGAATATACTTACATTTGAACAAATCACACACAGTATCTATAAATAATAAGGTACAGTTTTCCAAGAAAAAGGGCTTATAAATACTTGAATTGGTTTGTCGTAAGTTATTGAACCTTCAGCCCGCAAACTTTGAATCACTCGTTATTTTTTACTTGAAAAATTATGGATTTTCCATAGAGATTCGACCTTCTATTCGTCCCCTTTAAATTAAATTCTGGCAATAAAATAAGTAACGTCTTCTATCCCAAGTTCAAAGTACTATACGTATTTAGGAGTATAGAAAAAAATGTTAAACATTAGTTTATTCGCAAGGCGTGGATACCAAATACACAAAGGGCTATTTTTGCGTGTATAATTCTAGCATACAAGATTAACAGTAAACAACTAGCCTTTTAATCGTACAAGCGAATTTCTACCTTGTAGCAAGCACAGCAAAACACATTCCGCCGGCTGTACCTAATAAAGCAGTTGTCAAAAGGCAACGTTAGCGCAACGCCATTAATCACGTTTTTGCGTTTCTCGTGCGAATTATAACGATGACGTTTCTTTACCACGTACAGTCGACGTCATACTACGTCGTTTCTGAGGAAAAATCGACTCTACTACAAACGGTATAAGACACCAAAGTGTTGAACTTTATGTGCCGTTGTCCGTACAAAAACGCTTGCGGTATTATAACCTTTTGAAACATTAATTTGTTGGCTTATGAGCATGACACATAGAGAATGGGGTTTCTTGGCAGCCATCTCTATTACCCTACTACGAGTATAGTTATACCCTAGAGTGCAATAGTTTCGGTTGCAGAGTCTAGAGAAACATTATTAATGAAGCTGAGCTTCAGAGTTTGCGAAATAGAGATTTAGTCATTCATTAAAGTTAAGTTTGTTGGGAAAAAGGGGGGTTCACGTAAACTGAATTTGGTTTGAGCAAAACAATAATTGTAATGTTACTTGGGAGTTGTCTCATGATAAATGCTTTTGACTTGTAAAATTACCTAGTATGATGTGTCTTTATTTTTTAAATTAGGTTTTAATTTATAAATGTAGGATTACTGTCATGTTACGAATCTTTTTGTAAATACTAATTTATTCCAAGATTTGTTAAAAAAAAACCTACACTCAAAATATAAATTGAACTGTAAGCAATTAACCTTATCATAATGCTTTGTTTCTAACGGCAATTTTCTTCGACAATAATTGTTTACCGGCACATTAATTAATATGATGTTTTTTCCTTGTTTCAGGTTACTTCTGGCACATAACGGACTTCCACTACGACCCGTTGTACACCCCTCAAGGCGACACTAGAAGACGTAGGTACAAAATACGCGTACATTTTTGCAATATAAGAGACAATATTGAAGCCACGATATCCGAACGGTGATTGGATCGGACTAGCCGACTCGTGAATTCGTGATCCGGGGAACGCGGGTTCGGTCCCCGCCGCCGCTCGACTATTGTGGTGAGCTCAGGATAACGGGAACTTTAAAAAAAGAGGGCTTTTAGGAAGCCTTTTATTCTTGTTGAATACTCTATAACGATCTATGTATCTGACTTTGATCCAATTCTCTACTTTATTAATCATCATCATCATTTCAGCCATAGGAAGTTCACTGTTGAACATAGGCCTCCCCCAATGATTTCCACAAAGGTCGGTTGGCGGCCTGAATCCAGGACCTTCCTGCTACCTTTATGAGGTCGTCAGTCCATCTAGTGGGTGAACGTCCTACGCTGCTTTTTCCAGTAATAAGAGAAGGCTATGCTCGGTGTTGCTTTACGAGATCTAATCAGATTTAGGAAATCTGTAAACGAACTAAAGTGGCTCTACTATAATTGTATAATTATCTAGGTCGTATTAAAACATCGTAGTTAATATGTCCCGAACAAAGGACAGTTCGAATCTCTATCTAGCTATGATGATAAAGATTAACACCCGTATTCACAAACATTACTATGAGGTCTCACAGTGCACGTGAACGCACAGGGTGACACACGAAACTAATCACAGAGCTCTATTCAACGCTGTGCGTTCAATTTGCTACTTCACTTAAGCATCCTTTGTGAATACGGGCGTTAGTTACGTAAGATTTGTTTTCGGTAGAAGTGGAAACTTAAATTTAATTTATCACCTTTTATGTCAGACTTTTTACCGCGTACCTTCGCAAACTAAATTTATCCCGTATTAGAAATTAAAGATATCCGCTATCAAGAAAAATCGTTTAAAAGTTGAACCAAAACAAATGCTTCTGACATTAAAGAAAATCTAATTGCTAAGAGCGTATCTTTGCGTGGGAAATAAATAGTTAAGTACTTAAGAAGATTAAACGCTAACAGGATTAAAGTTGAGCAGTGGATACGATTTATAACATCAAAGGGAATAAAATACACGCAAATCGAAGGTCAGATAGCACGGATGACACTTTCGTATTCTGTAAGCCTGTTCTTTACGGCCATTTTATTTTTGGCCGTTTTAGGAAATAGCCCTATAATAAAATCTAGGTTTTATTGACTTGGCAACAGTTGTAGCGTAAAAAATCAGAGCATAATGTATAAAAGCGTCCTCCAATTACGCGAGCTTTGGAAAATATGTTTTCATACAGTTAATTAATGTGTTGTGACTTGTGACAAACGTTTTAAGATACGCCCTTTGTAATTTTATGTTAATTGTATGTTTATTTTTAGGCTTATTATTCAATAAATGACTCGTTTGCGAAGTGCTTTAGAACTACTACAAAAATTATAGAACACTAACTGACCCCGCGAACTTCGTACTGCCAGTAAAAGTTGTCTTAACTTATCTATACTAATCGCAATTTTTATTTCTGAACGTAACTCTTTTGATACCTTTATAAAACCTTCACTTGTTTGATTACAATAAGTCCCAATCCGTCCCCCGGACACGGCCTGAGCCGAGGTCCGAGCCTACCGTGGCGCCCTCAGGCCGCGTCCGTAGTCCCCCTCGATCGGGCCCACTAGAGTGAGCCCACCGTAGTAGGCTGGACTTTGGTCCAACACCGCGGTGGGCAACCCTCTAGTTGGGTTCGCCACTGATCGGGCGCCTTATGCGCTCGATACGGCCCGATTGCGAACGTCGGTCTGCGAACAATAAGTTTGTATTAATATTTTAAAAATATGTGAAAAATAAGAAACAATGCGGTAGGTACTTACAATGGTATAAAAAAAAACAAAATAATCTACAAGGTTACTTTTAAATTATGTCGTATTCACAAAACAAACAAAAAAAGTAATACGTTAAAAAAATAAAACCGACTCCAAAAAACACACTAAAAAGTAAAAAAATAATTACTAATCTTATTTATTAGGACGAATTAATATTTATGTATAGTATACCATGATTGATACTTCTGGAGTCGGTGCCAAGATTATGAAACGTGTAAAGTTTGCCTGTGTGTTTTTTGGAGTCGGTTTTTTTTTTATAAAAATTTACTTATTTCTTGCTTTTTAGTTAACTTATTATTAGGTACCTTGATGTTACCACTGAAGGTAGGCAGTACATTGAGACTATAATAATATACTTCATGTCAAGTGTAAAATAAGAATCCCTACAAAATACAAGTTACCATATCGGCAACTTAAAAAGACCTTAAACCGTCAGCCCACCTTAAAAACATGAAAGACTACAACTGTTGGTCTATTTGTACCTATAATATTTAAAGAATTATCTTCCAACTCCTAAGCATTAAGGAGTTTTACCTTCTATCATCAGATCTTCAATATGAGATGATGATTTCCAGGAGCAAATAATTGAATAACTTAAGAAAACGTTTGAAAAACGATATACGTGCCTATAAAATTTGAGGGTTGCCCTCGATTTCCCTAGGATCCCATCATCAGATCCTAACTTGGTGACAATGGGACCACCTCAGAAGTGTACCCTATCGAACAAAAAAAGAATTTTGAAAATCGGTCCACAATTGACGGAGTAATCGGTGAACATACATAGAAAAAAAAAACATACATACAGTCGAACATATAACCTCCTCCTTTTTTGAGTCGGTTAAAAATGGGATTCATTTCTGTGAAATACAAAGAAAATATTTCAAATAATGGAACAATGATCAAATGAATATTGAAGTTTACGTTTTCCCCTGAGAAATTTTCTGTACTCGTAACTTATAAAAAATTAAGGCAGAAAAGGTTTAGCTGGAAAAACCATTAGTTTACTCATTTCGTTGATAAAAGATTTATTAGATCAAGCTCTTTCAATAATGGTAGAGCAGAGAGACATTAATTACTTTAGGTTTACAGGTTTCTGATAAAGTTTCTAAGTAATGGCAGGTTACTTAATAGTTACATAATCTGCTAGATATCTCTATCTAAGAGTTTTGTGAATACAACATTTTAGTTTATCTAGTAGACATTTACTTTCCAATAAACTATCAGAGACTTTAACAATAAGTGGAAAATAAGGCACTTAGTTTTACAAATTTCATAATTGGGCTAATTCTGAGGAGAATTAACAAAGCTAGACGCTCGGTCCCTATACTCAGCCTCTATAAAAGTACTGGTGTGAACTAGGCAGTTTCGACTCCGTCATAATCATCATGGTAGAAGAAGAATGCCACAGTAACACCATTGTTTCTTCCAGACTGTGATCGGAGAGCGGACGAGCGAGCGTTTTTTTTTCATTATACTTTTAAAAAGCGCTCTTACTCATGGAATCTGTTCCTAGAGTTGCATTTAATTTAATTTTGTTTTGACTCACGATAGAAGAAGAACGTCATAATAACACCATCGTTTCTTCCAGACTTTCGGAGCCACCTTAGAGCGCTCATTCCTCCGACAGTTCGTTCGAGCTGAGATTGTGCATAGCTCCTTATGACTCATGAAAGTTATTTATTTTTTGTGACACTAAGATTAATCCTCATTTATTTTCATCCACACGTAAGAATGTCACAATAAGACGAGCGGGGCAGTTCCGGCCACCATAGAGCGCTCAGCCGCTTCGGCGACTATTCCTGCGACAGCTCGCTCGAGCTGATCGCATTGTTGACTCACAGAAGTCTTCTTTTTTTTCATTATACTTTTAAAAAGCGCTCTTACTCATTGAATCTGACTCTAGGGTTGATCCTCATATGTTCTGACTCACGATAGAAGAAGAATATCACAATAACACCAACGTTTCTTCCAGACTGTCGAAGAGCGGACGAGCGGGGCAGTTCAGGCCACCATAGAGCGCTCGGCCGCTTCGGCGACTATTCCTGCGACAGCTCGCTCGAGCTGATCGCATTGTTGACTCATAGAAGTCTTCTTTTTTTTCATTATACTTTTAAAAAGCGCTCTTAGTCATTGAATCTGACACTAGGGTTGATCTTCACTTGTTTTGACCCACGATATAAGAAGAACGTAATAATAACACCATCGTTTCTTCCAGACTGTCGGAGAGCGGACGAGCGGGGCAGTTCAGGCCACCATAGAGCGCTCGGCCGCTTCGGCGACTATTCCTGCGACAGCTTGCTCGAGCTAATCGCATTGTGCATAGCTCTTTGACTCACTCAACTCTCAATTATACTTTTAAAAAGCGCTCTTACTTATTGAATCTGTCCCTAGCGTTGTTTCTAATTTAATTTTGTTTTGACTCACGATAGAAGAAGAACGTCATAATAACACCATCGTTTCTTCCAGACTTTCGGAGCCACCTTAGAGCACTCATTCCTCCGTCAGTTCATTCGAGCTGAGATTGTGCATAGCTCCTTATGACTCATGAAAGTTATTTATTTTTTATGACACTAAGATTAATCTTCATTTATTTTCATCCACGTAAGAATGTCACAATAACTCCATTGTTTCTTCCAGACTGTCGGAGAGCGGACGAGCGGGGCAGTTCAGGCCACCATAGAGCGCTCGGCCGCTTCGGCGACTATTCCTGCGACAGCTCGCTCGAGCTGATCGCATTGTTGACTCATAGAAGTCTTCTTTTTTTTTATTATACTTTTAAAAAGCGCTCTTACTCATTGAATCTGTTCCTAGTGTTGATTCTAATTTTATTTAATTTTGTTTTGACTCACGATAGAAGAAGAACGTCATAATAACACCATCGTTTCTTCCAGACTTTCGGAGCCACCTTAGAGCGCTCATTCCTCCGACAGTTCGTTCGAGCTGAGATTGTGCATAGCTCCTTATGACTCATGAAAGTTATTTATTTTTTATGAAACTAAGATTAATCCTCATTTATTTTAATCCACACGTAAGAATGTCACAATAACACCATTGTTCCTTCCAGACTGTCGGAGAGCGGACGAGCGGGGCAGTTCAGGCCACCATAGAGCGCTCGGGCGCTTCGGCGACTATTCCTGCGACAGCTCGCTCGAACTGATCGCCTTTTACATAGCTCCTTATAATTCATAAAAGTCTTTTTTCTCAATTACACTTTTAAAAAGCGCTCACTCATTGAATCTGACTCTAGGGTTGATCCTCATATGTTCTGACTCACGATAGAAGAAGAATATCACAATAACATCAACGTTTCTTCCAGACTGTCGAAGAGCGGACGAGCGGGGCAGTTCCGGCCACCATAGAGCGCTCGGCCGCTTCGGCGACTATTCCTGCGACAGCTCGCTCGAACTGATCGCCTTTTGCATAGCTCCTTATGACTCATAAAAGTATTTTTTCTCAATTATACTTTTAAAAAGCGTTCTTACTTATTGAATCTGTCCCTAGCGTTGATTCTAATTTAATTTTGTTTTGACTCACGATAGAAGAAGAACGTCATAATAACACCATCGTTACTTCCAGACTTTCGGAGCCACCTTAGAGCGCTCATTCCTCCGACAGTTCGTTCGAGCTGAGATTGTGCAATTGTGCATAGCTCCTTATGACTCATGAAAGTTATTTATTTTTTATGACACTAAGATTAATCCTCATTTATTTTCATCCACGTAAGAATGTCACAATAACTCCATTGTTTCTTCCAGACTGTCGGAGAGCGGACGAGCGGGGCAGTTCAGGCCACCATAGAGCGCTCGGCCGCTTCGGCGACTATTCCTGTGACAGCTCGCTCGAGCTGATCGAGTCGGCCGCGCGATACATGCGCACGCGTCACTCGGAGAACGTGGAATTCGTGCTGTGGACAGGGTGAGAAATCGAAGCGAAGCCCACACTCGGCGAGTGTGGTCGATCGCCAAACGGCTAGAGTACCTTGTGTACTCACCACTCTGCCCGGTGAAGCTGGAAAAGCTCTTCAAGATACCAGCGTGTGTCCCTTAAAAAAAAATAATAATTTTATATCTTCAGCACAATAAATGTCGTAAACTGGAAGTCTGTTTTGATTTGGTATCCGAAATCATAACAGAATTCCATTTTACGAAGCGGAGTAAATTTTACTAGTAAATTAATTATGATTACGGTTATTATTACAAAGTAATGAGAGCAGGTCAAAGAACTCAAGCAAATTCAATTGGGATTGATTTTGCCAGAGGGAACACTAAACTGTCTTTTTTATTTCCAATATGAATGGTAATGCTATCGTAGGACACTAAAAATAAGAGCTATTTTTACCCGACTACGGCAAAGCCAAAGGAGGGTTATGATTTTGACAGGCTATGTATGTATGTATGTATGTATGTATGTATGTATGTATGTATGTATGTATGTATGTATGTATGTACAAAACATACAGAGTAAAAAAATAAAGTTAAGATAAATATGCCGTGTTTGGTATCATTTAAAAGGGCTTTACTTGTACATTTTGAGTATATATATATTACTAGCATTTGCTCGTGACTTTACCTGTATTCATGGGCTGATTGCATATAATTCACATCTTTTCGTTCATTGCTTCTTTACTACTTATTAGTTCATCAATTTAACTTTTGTTAATATTATGCGCCACAAATACACTTTAACACCAAAATGGTACAAATAATAAATAAAAAGTAACAAAACTAAAACCCAACTACGACAAAAAACGACGCTAAAAAAGTATAGGTAAAACAAGATTTTCAGAATACTGAACTGAACAAAGTTGCTAATGTAGTTGCATAGTAATTTTCATGTTTGGGAAGGCGTAGTCACACGTTACATATACCTACCTACCGTAGCACTTTGATAACGTGTGACTGCGGTTTTCCAAACATGAAAATTACTATGCAACTACATTAGCAACTTTGTTCAGTTCAGTATTCTGAAAATCTTGTTTTACCTATACTTTTTTAGCGTCGTTTTTTGTCGTAGTTGGGTTTTAGTTTTGTTACTTTTTATTTATTATAATCAATAATTTTCTCCTGGACATTAATTTAGCACTTTTAAAAACAGCTTCTACTATAAAACTCAAAATTTAACGTCGATGCTAAGCTTAATGTCATTCTTAGGACAAAATGAAAGGTGTGGTGTATTTTTAGTGCAATCAACTTTCACTTCATTCGTAGTGCTTCCAGAAAAAATAACAATACCCTCATTTACAGTGACATCATAGCCGCCCGGTACACTGGCAACGAAGACACAAAGTACCAGGCGATCAGAAACATGACGGAGCTGTTGAGCCAGACCTTCAGTTCCCACTTCGTGTTTCCAGTGCTGGGACACCTGGATCCAGCACCATCTGCAAGCCTCACTAACTTGTGGATGCACTGGCTGCCGTTGGAGGCTATGCAGACCTTTCAAAACGGTTAGTAGTACTAATTATTCTTCTTTAATGGCTTCAGTGGTAAGCACACTGATTTAATGGAGTGTTTAAAGAGTCAAACACGGTAAACCCTAACAGTTACGTCACTGCCAGAACTTTTATGAAGACTACGGCAGTGAACATAATAAATTATGGGTAGTTAATGACAATTGGGTACAGCCCTGAATAAGATTTAGAGCTTGTTAGGGCTAAATTATACAATAAGTTTAGCTTATGCATACGCCATCATCTTCTTAGGTGAGATATTAATTAAAAAAATATTTGCGTGTGCTCACCATGAGTTTATGTTAGGTGTACTTGCTAGCGATTGCGTAAAAAAATGACGTTAAAATATGTAAGACAGATTGTACAGCGCTCCTAGCTGCTACATTCAAGAACTAAATTTTTCATAGTATTTTTTGACGCACTCGCTAGCAAGCACACCTAACATAAACTCGTGGTATATAAGTATACAGGGTGGAAACGATAAGTGATCTCACTCGATTATTTCTAAACTATACAAGATATCCAAAAACTGGTTACTGATCCTAAAAGTTCTTTACGAGCTCTATCCAACGGTACCATTTTTTTTTTTTTTTTTTTATCCACAACGAGGAAGCTCTTGGCCTGATAATAGGTTACCAAATAAACTGGAACTATCCGAAAATTCAATGTTTCCGGCTTCCATACATTTAATAAAATCACATAATATTGAAAACTATACAAGATATCTAAAACTTGGTTACTGATCCTAAAAGTGCTTCAGGAGCTCTATCCAACGGTAACAATAATAGGTTACAAAATAAACTGGATCTATCCGAAAATTCAATGTTTCCAGCTTCCATACATTTAGTACCGCCACAGTCATGGCACTCACGTCTTGATAATATTATAGCAAGTACAGCCTAAAACCAATGTTTTTCATGAATAATTTTAAATAAGAATGCAATTTGGAGTTCAATTTAAGTGTTTATTATTAAATTAAAAAAATTAACACTTCCAATATTGTGTGGCTGGCATACATTTAGTATGGAGCCTGAAAACATTGAATTTTCAGATAGATCCAGTTAAATCTGTAACCTATTACTGATACCGTTTGAAAGAGCTCATGAAGCACTTTCAGGATCCATAACCAGTTTTTCGATATCTTGTATAGTTTAGAAATAATCGAGTGAGATCACTTATCATATAGCATGATTTTGTTTTTCACAAAACGCACATAAACCTTTTTCATTACCGTTAGAAACAAAATTGCTTGCCTTAAAGTTTGTACATGGTTTTGAATAATGTTTTTGGGCACTATCATGGTAATTACTTTTAGTTGGAGTACTATCTTCTAAGGCTATAGCCCTTCTTTCTAAGAAATTTAAAAATTCTTTGAATGTAGGAATCTTATCAATGTCCACTCTATCGAGGTGGTAAGCCCTATTGGTGTAAGAATCAAGTTTTTTCGATATAATGGATATCAATAGCATATCCCAGCTGTCTATAGATTGACCCAAATTTTTGAGAGCGTATAACTGCTGTTGAACATCAGAAATTAGCGACCTTATGGAAGCCGCAGTGCCTCTCTGCATTGATGGCAGATCTAATAAAATGTTAATGTGATTAGATATTAGTCGTGCCTTATTATCAAACCGCTTCCTGAGTAACACAATAGCCTCGGAATAGGATTCATTTACTATAGGTAAATTAACAATAACTGCCAAAGCATCATCAGTTAAATATTTTCGTAAATAGAATAGTTTTTGTACATTGGACAAAGACTTATTATTATTAATTACAGCATCAAACAGGTCCATAAAGGGTTTAAACTTGGTGAAGTCCTTCCCATCGAAGGAAGGGATGTCGATGTTGGGCAACTTGGAGGTGGAAACATTTGTACCTGAAGAGACTTCATCCATCTTCAAGTTCTTTAAGCACTGGCTCAACTTTGAAAGCACATTGTAATACTGGTTCTCCACGGCGGCAACATTTTCAGAGTCTGCTGGGTCGAGCGATAAAATATCCAAGTTTACCTCCTCGTAGTCTTTGAGTGTAGTCACTAGCTTGTTTTTACGTGCTTGAAGCATGTCCTCACCCGCCGCAGCCAATAGAATTGGATCATTGACGAAGTTCTCGATACGTGTGATTGTTCCTTTGAGGTTACCTCGTTTGTTCCGCAAGCGTCTCAAATCGTCGTCCGGCATTGNTCCACAACGAGGAAGCTCTTGGCCTGATAATAGGTTACCAAATAAACTGGAACTATCCGAAAATTCAATGTTTCCGGCTTCCATACATTTAATAAAATCACATAATATTGAAAACTATACAAGATATCTAAAACTTGGTTACTGATCCTAAAAGTGCTTCAGGAGCTCTATCCAACGGTAACAATAATAGGTTACAAAATAAACTGGATCTATCCGAAAATTCAATGTTTCCAGCTTCCATACATTTAGTACCGCCACAGTCATGGCACTCACGTCTTGATAATATTATAGCAAGTACAGCCTAAAACCAATGTTTTTCATGAATAATTTTAAATAAGAATGCAATTTGGAGTTCAATTTAAGTGTTTATTATTAAATTAAAAAAATTAACACTTCCAATATTGTGTGGCTGGCATACATTTAGTATGGAGCCTGAAAACATTGAATTTTCAGATAGATCCAGTTAAATCTGTAACCTATTACTGATACCGTTTGAAAGAGCTCATGAAGCACTTTCAGGATCCATAACCAGTTTTTCGATATCTTGTATAGTTTAGAAATAATCGAGTGAGATCACTTATCGTTTCCACCCTGTATACACAGATAGATGCTGAGATTTAGTACTTCTTGTAGTTGACACTATCTGCTTCTAGTCTTACTAATCAGTAAATGCGAGAAGAAGAACATAATAAATAAGATCAGCCCTTGGAATATAAGGAAAAATTTTACTACATGGAATAATTTTGTCCCCAGGCGGGTACTACACAATAGAACAATCCTACAGCAAGCTAAGGATAGTGGTCCTCAACACCAACCTGTTCAGCGTGCGAGAGTCGAGCAGCCCTCACGCCAAGCGCCAGTGGGACTGGCTGGACGCTGAGCTGGAGAAGGCAACGACTAATAAGGATATGGTAAGGATTTACTGCCGGAAGACGTAGCGTGGGCAGGCCTCCCACTAGGTGGACCGACGATCTGGTGAAGGTCGCGGGAGGTGTCTGGATGCGGGCGGCGCAGGACCGGTTTTCGTGGAAATCCTTGGGGGAGGAGGCCTTTGTCCAGCAGTGGACGTCTTTCGGCTGAAACGAACGAAGGATTTGCATCTAAATTAGACCATGGTGACGACGATAAATTGGTCCACCCATTCACCATTCAGTCTCAAGACGTCCAATGGACCCTTTCATCATCATCATTTCAGCCTCAGGACTTCACTGCTGAACATAAGCCTTACACAATGATTTCCAGACTGGCCGGTTGCTAATTCCATTATTGGGTATGGATACTATGTTCTTAAACTTTCAAAACGTTTGCATGAGGAAGTGACAATCATCTGGGCAAGTGCACGCCATTATAGACGGTATTGACATGTATATGTAGAAGTAGATACTGAGATTTATACTAATTTTCGTTAACCTTGAAAGCCGTCGATATTATTTATTTTACTTCAATGGATTCCGTCAGTAAATTAGGTAACTATGTATTGGATCTTTCAATGATACACGTGTAAAAACTTTTAGATTTATTGATATTTGGGTCGTATAAATATGATTACATTTTATGCTATTTGCTAGTAAAGCACTAAAGGAAACCCTTGCCTGTTTCTGCCAGGGCCTTATAACTCCCCAAGGCTCTATTATATTCAAACTAATAATATCCATTCAGAGTTTCATATTACTGATATTAATTGCCTGAACCTAACAACAACCAATAAAAGTTTCATACTACCTTTAGTATTAATCAAAAGTTGGGGAACTCATTTCGTGGTTTCAGCTGGCGGCAAAGACTTTTAGATTCCTTGTTTGAATGGTTCGGTAACTTTTATGTTGGCTTTGTCCTCGCGATATTGTGTATAATATTTTAATCTAGTCTTCTTCTTTTACAAGTCGTATAGTGTGGATTGCAACAACTAAAGTCACAGTTCTGTGTGCTTACCATGAGTTTACGTTAGGTGTGCTCGCTAGCGAGTACGTCAAAAAAATCTATGAAGATTTTATTTCTTGAAAGTAGCCGCTAGGGGCGCTGCACAATTTTGTGTTATTATGTCATTGTTTTACGCAGTCACTAGCGAGCACACTTAAACTCATGGTAACCACACTGGTGTCATACTCAATGAACCACTATAGGCACCTGAAAAAGCTTAATAGAGGGTCCTATTCTAATCTTATTTATTTTAAGTTTTTTTTTATCCACAACGAGGAAGCTCTTGGCCTGTATCTCACCTGATGGTAAGTGACGATCAGGCCGAAGGTGGAAGCGAGTTATTCAGATTTATTTGCAGAATTGTCAAACTTAAATGGCAGTAGATGGCTCACATAGTTTGTAGAATGGGCCTTGGCATAGAGGTTCCCGAGTGGGCAATTTTGGGCTATTCGCCAACTTGACACAAGAGACTGGACAGGTCCAGTGTGGCAAGTCTCCCACTAGGTGGACCAACGATCTTGTGAAGGTTGCGGAAAGTACCTCGATGTGGGCACAAGGAAGTGCTTGGATGGAAAACACAATATAACATATTTTCCTCATAATAATATCTTTACTAAAAGGGGATAATTATCTGATGTACCTAGGATAAAATCTTTCGTATTTCAAAGAGAAAAGATTGCAATCCAGATGTTGGGAAGTTCTAAAGCTCCCAGGTTTTCCTGAAATCGCATAGTTCAAGCTTTGAACACCTTCTTGGAAAAAAATTTGTTCTGCAAAACTTTTTGAGTTTAGCAGGAACGGACAGCTACAAATCAGACTTAATACTGGAGCATTTAATAATAAGTTGTATAAAAATTCGAAAGGTCACTGACTGACTTACTCATCACGAAATCTCAGAAACTACAAGTACTAGAAGTCTTTGTATGAATCCTTTTAGAACGTAGGAGCTATTTTTTTTTAAGCTTGTATGCGCTTTGGACCTGTTTTGTAAGCTTACAAGTGTTTTGCATTAACAAATAAATATTTTGCAAAATAAAAAGGTATATTGCAAAATTCAATCCCTAAGGGGGTAAACGGGAAACACGCATAATTAAATATGAAGTCACAGCGACCGATAGCAAATTATATTTTTCAACCAAAAACCTCTACTTACTTGCTTAATTTTTACTGCATAATATTTAGTTACCAGTTAACTTTAAATAGGCGTTACAAAAGTACTAGGTAATTCGTAATTTTATTTTGTGTTTTCACCACATTTTAGCCGGCATGTGATAAAACAAGTAATGCACTACGGGCGGTCTCATAACTACCCCGCCGGAACAGCGGCGAGGAAATCCGGCGCCGCCGCTTCTAATAAATTACAGATTAGAAACTCGTTAATCTAATCGCTTTCAAACTCAAGTGAAAGTCGATTTTGAAAGTCGAACCCTTGAATATTTACTTTCACTATTCTGTTTCCTTACCATGAGTTTAGGTACTACTTTAAGTGTGCTCGTTAGCGACTGCGTAAAAAAATGACATTAATGTATGACATAATTTGTGCAGCGCCCCTAGCAGCTACTTTCAAGAAATATAATCTTCATAGATTTTTTTGACGTACTCGCTAGCGAGCTCACATAACGTAAACTCATTGTAAGCACACTGATTGAGTAACATTCCTTACGCCCGTATTCACAAACGATGCTTGCCTATGTGAAGCAGCAAATTGAACGCGCAGCGTTGAATAGGGCTCTGTGATTGGTTCGTGTGTCACCCTGTGCGTCCACGCGCACTGTGAGACCTCTTAGTAATATTTGTGACTACGTGCGTCATTATCCTGTCATAAATCAATGTTTTCTGATATTTAAGCCATCTAACTCTTTTTCCTTTAGTAAAAGTTATTATAGCAAACAGTTTATTAAATTGAATGATTTTAGGAATGAAGCTTCACTATACTCGCATCGCTTAAAATCAATGTTTTTTTTTATGTGTTGCTCAATTTTATGAATAAATTATTTCTCAGTTCCAACTGCAGCTTATTCACACTCTTTTTTCTACTAGTATTTTTTTAATCAGCAAAAAGTCTATTATGATTATTTCCTCACAAGTACTTATTACAAGAATTCGTATAAAACTCTTATAAATATTATTTCTACGCTTAACAAGAAAATGTTAAATAAATAACTACATCGTATGTTGTCTTTTAATAAAGCACCCAAAACAAAAAGACCTGAGCAATATAAAATCAAATTAACAAAAGTTGTTCAATCTTTGTTACCGAAGAAACGTTGTAACCTCGTTTCGTTATCTGTAACAACCCTCTATGTTGTGTTACATTAGGTTTTAGCTACCACGGCACGTGTTTTCAGCTACAATTATGAATCATTTCAATAGGCCCGGTGATAATTCAAGTTTACAAATGGCCGCGGGGCCCAGGCACAGGGAAGGCACAGTGGAGAAAAATGGAGTAGGTTTAAAAAATAAACATTATTAATCCAACAATCACAAGATCCAGAGTGTAGTAATAAAATTAAAAACTTATTACCTTACCTTAATACACATACAGGTTTAATACCTATACTTTTTTGTGTATGTAAAATGGATTATTTATTTAAATACCTACCTACTTAAAGCAAATATAATGTCGAGCACCGAAAGTAAATGTAAATGAGTATAATGTCATAAGTTATGCAATTCGATAAAGCTCAGGGAAAGCTCTCATAAGTGTACTTATTCGTTTTCAGCTTAATATAACTAGCTTTTGCATGCTGCTTCCACTGTCTATAACCTTATGTTACTGAGTATAATGTAGCATTTTAACAGTGAAACATTCTAGAAATCAATTTGGTAGTTTTGGAGATTATACGTTACTCACATACAAATACCTCTTTATAATTATTAGTATGAAAATTTTAAGAAAGAAGTATGTTTACTACATTCACCTGTATTACGGACCAGATAAAAACAGCTGGCCAACATGGAATAATGTATTCCCAACGTGACTCAAATAAACATTGCAGTTACAAATCACACACACGCGACATGGGAAACTTTATGTAATGGTAAATACATTAAGCAAAAATATGGAAGAACAAGAATTTGGGCTGGCGGTTAACAGCGATATAGTGCCCGTGTGGTGTGAGTAATAGATTGCCGATACGTTTTGTATTTTGGAATGGCGGTCTTGTATGATATTTTTGTGTTATTTAGAACGAAACTAGAACCAACCCAGTAGTTGAGATATTTTTTTATGCAGCACAAAGTGAGATGCAGTATAGGTTGGTAGGTACCTAGCTGTCCTGAAAGTGCCTATTCACCCTCGCCTTGAAGTTCCCACAAATTTTTGATCCTTCAAAAAAATCAGAGTTCGATCAAGAGGCGTATCTAGAGTTTTTTTTAACAAATTACTAATTACATCGTTTTGTGGTGCCAATGTTTTAAATTTATTAAAAAAACATTTAAGCCAGTTATGTTGATCGTGAGTGTAAGCGCGCTGCTTTGTGAGAAAAGAATGATCACTTCAATTAAATTAATAATAATATGACTTTCAAAATAGGATCATGAGTTTAATTCCCAACATTTTACAAGATTTTTTATATTACATACTATACTATTACAGTAGGTACTTGACCCGTAGCAATCCAGTTACAAATCTAGCCACATTTATATTAGACTACAACAAGTGATATTTATAGTCATACTTAGATCCGCGATACAATCTTGCATACTGAATCTTATTACGCTGTGTATTCAAAACGGAAATAAAGTAATTTGATACAGCTAAAAGTACAATAGCAGTTCAGTATTAACAATGTACCACGGTGTAATAGTACATCACAAAACCCGCAATCGTGGTTCTTTTCAGGCGGATAAAAAGCGTGATGAGTTGCAAATGTACTCAAATTTTCTGATTTTATGTACGTTTGAATATTAATTTTGCGAAATACTCGTCGGGATAGTCTAGGCACGTTTAGGCGAACAAATAAAATAAACAAATTGTCCAGCGTAAATACGAATGTATGAAATATTTACAACGAACACAACCTAAATTTAGAAAGTACTTAATGTTATTCAGAAATGAGAGGGTTTTGTATATTTAATTTTAACTGATGGCAGAATAGAGAGTAATGTTTGGCATGTTTACATTTATGTGTTGAATTGAATTGAATTGTACATTCAAAACTTGAATTCTTTCTACAATCAATAAATCACTGTAAATAAAAACAATGAAATGAGAAATTTCAATATACCTACTATAAAATAATGAACTCGTAAAGTTTTGAAAATTATTGCTAAAAGTTTTTCATTCGCTGCATAACTGTCCAAGCTTGCAAAGTTTGCGACATAATAACATGCTCAAAATGCTATCTGTAATTAAAAATTACGTGTGTACGAGTATTCATGGAAAAATATCAATCCCTGACCACCATACGACACAGATCCCGTCACGAAGGCTTTGAAAACGATGCGGGCCTGGAAAAATCCAATTTATTTTCCACAACAAATATTCCCCGTAAATCTCTGGATTTAAATTCAATTTGTTGCGCGTACGCATTTTAATAAAGGTCCACTTTGTAGTAGGTACGTTTGTGAAATTAACTAGGGATTTGAAGGCTATTTCAATTAGTGAAGCAGTAATTGCGTAACTAAAATTAATTTTCTTGGAAGCCGGTCCGGTCGGTTTTCCTTTTGCGATTGTTTGTTTTTCATTTATATAACATCGAGAATATGCCCAATTTCGGATCTTATTTATACTTTTGCGTTCATAATGTTTACGTTGTTCGATTGCATTTTTACTCCAATGAGACTTCCATTGTTTTAAATTGCTTATTGCAATAAAATGTATGAAGTTTTTGATGAATTCTTTTGGTTTCTCAAACTAAGATCTGAAAATACCCTTGAAAAGAAGTAAGTACTTTGGTTACGTAAGTATGTTGGGAAGGACATAGATATAAAGCTGATCACTGTTCTACAGTTTTCCTTAGAAAGTCTGTTGCAATTCACGAAGGTGAGTGAGCTTTACACGTGTGGTGGCTCGCCACTATTCGTTTTTCAAAAGTTTTGATAGACATTACGCTATAAACAAACACAAGTAAAGCTCACTCGCCTTCGTGAGTTGCAAGAACTACGAGACAGTAAAATCCATTTTTATGTGTTACAGAATTCTATTTCAAATTAAATTATATCCTCTAGCTGCTAACCAAAGTCACGAAATATTAAACTATTTCAGTGGAAAGTTCTCATGACTAAGTTTGGACCAGTGAACTTAAAGCTTTGACATTAGGACTGAAAATAATTATTTACCAAGGACGTAATCAAATTTCATCAGCATGAAATTTTGAGGGCATTTTCAGCTGAATTAACTGAGGCTAGTTTTGGCTTACTCCAAGTATTTTATAGTTAACTAGCGACCACCCGCGACTTCGTACGCGTGGATCCCGTTTTACCCCCTTAGGGGTTGAGTTTCGTAAAATCCTTTCTTAGCGGACGTAGTCATAACATCTACCTGCATGCTAAATTTCAGCCCGATCCGTCCAGTGGTTTGGGTTGATAGATCACTATGTCAGTCAGTCAGTCACCTTTGAGTTATATGTATTTAGATGTGAAGCCATACTTGGTGTAGAATTTCATGCTCATTTATCTTTTAATATGCATTATTATGTTGGACGTTTTCTATATCAGACGATGACAGGCATTGCAATATTGCATTGCTTGTTGTAAAACATGTAATACGAGTAAGTGTGAAGAACATAACGCTGATCTTATAAGCTTGAGTTGAATATACATAAAGGAAGTACTCAAACAAGTAGTGGCTCAGACTTACTCAGGGTTCACAGTAATGTTTGTGAAAAGACCGTTACCGGGACTCAATCACACAAAAAACCTGAATCTCTATTCAGGGCTATTGAGGACTATTTTGCCTAATATGCCATATAGTGTCTAATGTTCTTTCGTCCATACAAAACACTTTTACAAGACTTATATTCTTTCACAGGTATACATAGTAGGCCACGCCGCCCCCGGTTCGGACTCCCGGTATCCGTACGACACGTCTCCGGACGCAAACGCGAAATACCTCCGGACGGTGAGGCGGCACGCGCGCATCATCGCCGGACAGTTCTTCGGACACCTCCACGCTGATACGTTTAGAGTCATTTACGATAATGGTAAGAATACTAGGTAATACTTTTTTCTTGGTGGCGTTTGACACACGCAATCAATCGGCTAGTTGACCCCCTTACATAGGTATTTTTATGAGTAGTCAAAACGCAATTTCGCCATATTATTGTGGTTAAACAAGCAAGCAAGACAAACAATAACGTTACTTTCTCACCAATTATCGTACCGATTGGCGCTGCTCTAGTAAATGTAATTACGATAGTTCTCCTACCGCTTCAGCACTCACCTATTGACACCACTGTCTGCCTCTGATACAACCTTACTTTAAGGCCACGTCAACTGTTAGCGCAAACAAGATAGCCCTCTGCACTAAAATTGTATTTACGGTCAAATGAAAATGAAGTTTTCTAGCTAGGCACTGGCCTAACTTAGAACTATCTAAGAATAATTTAACTTATGGTTTGGTTGTGGAAAATGGGTTATTTTCTGATAATCCCTAAAAATGTTATAGTAAAATTAAACGTGTCTTTTTTGTCTAGATCGCCCAGTATCATGGGCTCTCCTGGCGCCCTCAGTGAGCCCGCACCGCGAACCCGGAGGATCCTCCAACCCTGGGCTTAGGCTTTATAAGTTTGACACCAATAATGGAAAGGTAAGTGATTATTAAGTGTAGTGGCGCAGTTGCATTATGCAGGATATTGATGGAGACAAAGTGTAAAGACGCACTTCAGTTAGCTTCGCCGTGCGTCGCTCATACTTCGGTGTACTTGGTTGCGTTTCTGTTCGATCGATTTTCCGCATAGTGTAACTGCGCCATAACAATTTTAAACATGACGTTTAGGTGTTCTTTGGGTGGTATAGTAAAAACACTATTTATTTTTATTTATTGCATATTTTCGTCAGAAAATTACGATGCGTCTTAAATGTAAGGATATTTTAGATGTCTCATAATATAAGCTATTGTAATTATTAAATTACTCGTCCTACTTTATGGGAATATTAAGCTGAATTTTGATACATGTAGGCTGCTGGAATCTTACCTTACTATTCTACGAAGTTATTTGGATATAATCTCTGGTATCGTATCTAGCAAGTACCTTGTAGATGGTATTTATGAATTGGATACTAAGTAGGTACGAGTGCATACCTAATACGTAAATATACTAGAGTCCATACATTGAAACCATTTTATGGTTGCTAGAGATAATTAACTTACAAGACCAAGAATTTAAAAAAATAATTTTATCCACAATCGTAAAAATAACTCATTTAGTTCTTAACTTGTCTGTTACTGCAGATTATCAACTCGATTGTTTTAAAACAACAAGATTATTTAAGATTAGCAGGAGGAAATAACGGGAAATACTAGTAAGTAACCTTAAACAATACTGTTTGTTTGGTTCAAGTGTACTTGTACGGTAGCACTTCTGTAATATTTGTCAACTCGTAAGTTTTCAATCCAGGTGCTAGACTACACGCAGTACTACCTAGACTTGGCTGCTGCGAATCGCAACGCAGGCGCAGCGGAGTGGACGGCTGAGTACAACCTCACTCAGTATTATGGGCTCCACGAGGTCTCCGCCATCTCGCTACACAACCTGGCCGACAAGCTGCGGATAGGGACTCCGCATGAAACTAATGTGTTTTACAAGTAAGAACTTTATACTTTAAGGCCTTACAGACACATAAATAATTACGCAGTTGGTGGGCATTTCTCTATTTTGCATCAAACCGTATCTTTTTTTTATGGGACAGGAGGCAATGGATCACCTGATGGTAAATTATTACTGTGGCCCATAGACACCCGTAGTCCCATGGGCGTCACGCGTACTTACGTTACAGCCTCAGTGCCTCGCCAATGAGAACTATCCAGTGTTAATTGTGAAAAATATAAAACGTTAAAATAGCGGTATCGTTATAGCCAATGAGCTGCTGTCATAGTGACATTGAAGTATTGTCAATGTCACGCGAGAATCAAACGGGAGAATAGAGAGACGCGCGGAGACGACTCCGCGCGCTTTTGTGCTAAGTGATGAATTTTATCAAAATTAAGGCAATATAATGTGAAAGTTAAGTATCCAGTGTTTTATTTATGAGAATAGATCGACCGGCCTCTAATACCAGATATCCGTGCGGTTATCGCGCGTGTCAGAACCATGCGCAAAGCAGGAAAGTCATTTAAGTAGTCTATTGAAATACATACTTTTACGTTAACTTTTTTCTACTACACTCACAATCCATTAGAGTGTGGTTATGATAAAGATTACTAAATTAATGAGTCACGATTTTATTTTGCACAGCTTGCTCCCATTTTTCTTAGTATAAGACCACATTTGCCTTAGAATAAGACCACTTTTTTCTACAGGCTGAAGCGGAGTGTAAATACTGGGCGTGTAGCTTTGTTAGTTAAAATGAAACATTTCAGTGCACCAAGTCTATTTTCATGCACGTCCTGGAGAGATACCACGCAATAATTTCAAAGACATTCGTATTTGTTTTTGTTGAATATAAGACATTTTGAAGAAGTTTTGTGTGTGCATTTATGTACTTTTCTAACTATTATGTTCTCCATTAGATACCTCCGAGCATACAACGTGCGATACGAGAGCAACGACAACTGCGATGGTGCGTGCGCGCACCAGCACTTCTGCGCGATCACGTGTCTCGAGCACTTGGCATACCGCCAGTGTGTGGAGGCGGCCGCTAGCGCGCTCGCAGCGGCCGGCGATTCCGCTCCGCTTGTCGCGTCGCTCATGACGGTACTCACCCTTATTGGAGTTGCGCTTATGTTGTAAGTGACTTTTTTTTGTGACGTGAAAACACGGGATTGGATATGATACGACATTTTGAAGTAACTAAAGATTTTGTATTGTATTATTGCATACGACACTTGAAGTAATATAGTGTGTTGTATTTAATACATTGTGTTTTGATAAGATAAATAGGTATCCTTGTGTCCTATTCAAAAAGTTCTAACATTTCTTGAGAAGCAGCTAGTTCTAGCTTATGTAACGATCTAGACTAAGTAACGAACCATGTGACAGTTTTCAGCCTAAAAGCCTTTTTATTCTGTATCCAAATACCCATTTTGTTAACAATTTGAAATGAGAAGTACGACTGGGTTTCATACATAATCTCAGAGGAAATACTTGTACAAAAATAAAACGACAAACTGGTATAAACGTAACTTATTCGCTCCACGTTTCACTCGTGACCGAACCACTTTACTTGATTTCGTATTTATTCTTAATTTATTTGGCATTTTTCTATTTATTTTGTCATGTTTTTGACACAAATATTGTCGATTTTAGCGAATGTCATTTTGATTTTCCCTTCCCTTTTTCCCAATCGCTCCAATTACTTGTTTGCTTTGTAATTTGGGTGACATACGTGTACTTTTTGGGTCAGGGCCGTAACCCCAATCAAAAAATACACCCTGTATGTTTCTTGTAACATAATACTATTACATTACTCTTAAGCGGACCGGACACTGGGTGGGAATGAAGGAATAACGGTTATAGTGCTACAAGGCTATTTTGTATGTAAACAGATTTAAAATGTCATTACCAAGGAAGGAATGACAGTAATATTGATGTCATTATGACTGACATTGTCTGGTCCGCTGTAAATTATAAAATAAATATAAAATGTTAACTTTATAATGTATAAATAGTGTATAGTCCCGAGTTTTGTACTCATCTAGTTCGACTAGAAAACCTATTTTTAGAATAATGGATTTTGTGCTTCAACTAAATGTAATAAAGTATGTTATTGGATAGCTCTAATACGCGTTTGTGATATAGCTTGCTACCGTACTAGGTAGATATGTTATTGTTTAGAATATAACAAAAGTAAAGTATTACAATTAGTGCATATGACTGTAAATAAATGAAAATTTAATTTAACTCTCGAACATTTATATTTAAAATTAAATACTTAAATATTAATTATTGTCAATAATTGAATTTTTATTTATTTTAATATAGTGAAATCAGAAGTTTTTTATACGATGTAATCATTTTTGTTTAACTTAATAAGTTACGTTACGTTTTCCTACATTAATATGTAGATAATTATTTATTGTTGAGAAAATTCTGTATTTGTACATCTGGATTCGTCTGTAATTAAATTAATATTATATAGATGTACTTAAAAGTAAATTAATTTTAATGTAAATAACTAAATTTAAACCTAAGTTTCGAATTGTAAATGAGGAACAACTAGCGTTTAAGCTCTACATTAAATATTGCTTTTTATCTCATTATTTTATTACGACCAAAATGTCAGTAAAATAATTGTCTAAAATAGTGTGAAAACAATTGAATGTATAAACATTAATAATCCTAAATTTATTTACTTAACTCTATTATAACGTATCGATGAATATTTGATTTCGATTGCATTATGAATGTTCCCGTATTAATATCGAATGGATGTTTCAATTCATTTTTAATAAAGAGTTGTATTTCAATTCAGTGTTTTATTTATCGTGTGAATATTTTAATATAATCCAAAATGATATTGAAAGCTCCACACAAAGTAAATAAAAAACCAAGTCTGTGGTGGTTTTTACTTAGGTAATTTAAATAATTATCATTAGCATAATCATCAGGTCATTTAATAACCAGTAACACAACCCTCTTCAATCCATTTATTTGCCACTGGTACTTTATTTTGTCCCTTAGTCGTTTTTTAACCACGTCATAATTATTATTAAGACAAGCTCAATAAATTGAATTTGGTAAAATTTAATTATTTACATAAAGAGCGAACCTAGTTTACTCGAATAGAAGTTTCAGTTGGGAGTTGTAAAATCGCTTAAGGTTCGGTCAAACCAACGCGATCACACGCGATCAGCTGGCGTGCAGCGATGGCGATCAATGCATTTAAGTCTGAGGTGGAATTGTGTAAAGCAATCGTAATCATTTGACAGTTCATAACGTACGATAACGTCAGTTAAACAAAGCGTTTGACAGAATAATCGTACGTTATGAACTGTCAAATGATTACGAGTGCTTTACACATTTCCACCTCTGATCGCCATCGCTGCACGCCGGCTGATCGCGTTGGTTTGGCCGAACCTTTATAGAACGTTACACCGATGCTCTTATTATGGATGTAACTAAAGCTTGGAAGCCTAAAGTTTTACCAATACTATTTATTATACTATGGTTTTACTACCCAAAGTAATAAAACATGCATCTTGTCACTAAGCATTACGGTATACTCGTATTGAAATGGAAGTAAAACGATCCATTCGCTTTATTATAAACTTTATATTTGCTATAATATTAAGTAGCAGCCAAAAGCTTTAAAATCGCGCCAAAGTTCTTACTCTGTGACTTTGACTAAAATGTAAGCTACAAAGCTAAGCGTACCTGGAACGTATTTCATTGCTATGAAACTTCAACTTTCAGTAAGCTGTAACTATTATTCAATGAATGCGACTGTAAAAAGCCTATTTAATGTTGTAGCACTTTCTTGTGGATACATTAATATTATCTCAAATATTAAATCATCCATTAAAGTTTCAATACATTTTATAATCCTTAAAATTCAAAATATTAACTTCTTAACGTAAAAAATATTTTTTTATAGCTGAAATGATGATAATGAAATTATGAAAATTGTTATGAAAAAGCCCATTTACTTCCGTTGAACTTTTACATTATCCCATCCAACTGCCGCATTATCGTGCCAATCATCAGCAAAATGTTGATTAAAATAGTACTTTTGGTAATTCAACAATGAACCAGACATTATAGTCAACATGGGAAATAATGTATTGATGTTAGTGGCGGAAAACAGCTCATTAGCGAATACCAAAATAAATATATCTGGTCGAAACCGCAACAAAGCAAAACGCTGATACAGGACCGGCTAATTTGCAGACGAATTGATAGTTTAATAGATTTGCGGTGATGCAATTGGGTTTAATGGAAATTATTAGTATTTTAAATAGAGTCCCGTTACACTTAGGCCCCGAACAGACGGTGAAACGCAACTGCAACGAAACTGCAACTTTGTGATGATTCTGATGAATGAAACTGAAACTGAAAATTTCAAACTGGTCGCGTAATGTGTGGTCTCTCAACGGACGCTATGGCAGAAAGATAGATGCAACTCAATAGTATTCATCAAAATCCGTTCAGTAGTTTTTGCGTGAAAGAGTAACAAACATCCAAACTTACGCATTTATAATATTAGTAGCTACATATTGAGGATCTTAATAGAGATTTAATTTTCTTGTTTAATACATCAATGGTAAACTAGTCCATCTAACTATACTATACTATACATCTAGCTGGGTTTATACTGCAGTAATTTTGTTGGTTCACATCACCGCATGAATCCTTCGGAAAACGGTGCCGGCACGTCCTACATCGGCCGTGTTTACAGCCAAAAATAATTTATCAACGTTAATCTAATAATTAGTTTCAATAAAATTATGATAGTAGCAAAGAAAGCTTATAAAAAGCAGATCTGAATTGTAAAAATCGATAGATAAAACATCGTTCGTTCGTTCGTTTCAGCCGAAAGACGTCCACTGCTGGACAAAGGCCTCCCCCAAGGTTTTCCACAAAGACCGGTCCTGCGCCGCTCGCATCCAGGCACCCCCCAGATAAAACATACTAATCCCAATCCCAACTAATATTATAAATGCGAAAGTAACTCTGTCTGTCTGTCTGTCTGTCTGTCTGTCTGTCTGTCTGTTACGCTTTCCCGCTTAAACCTCGCAACCGATTTTGATGAAATTTGGCATAGAGATAGTTTGAGTCCCGGGAAAGAACATAGGATAGTTTTTATACCGGTTTTTGAAACAGGGACGCGCGCGATAAAGTTTTTCTGTGACAGACAAAATTCCACGCGGGCGAAGCCGCGGGCGGAAAGCTAGTAATATTATAAATGAGAAAGTAACTCTGTCTGTCTGTCTGTCTGTCTGTCTGTTACGCTTTCCCGCTTAAACCTCGCAACCGATTTTGATGAAATTTGGCTACTAAAAATTAGTGCCTTATTTATTTATTTATAGAATCCAACAGCGATACATTGAAAATGCTAGTTATAAGATTAAGGGCTGATTTTTCAATCGTTGGATAACTTTTAACTGAGGAATAAGTTTGGCACATTGACAGTTTTAGTATGAGAAATATGTCAAAATGACAAGTTTATTCTTCAGATAAAAGTTAACTGACGATTGAAAAATCGGCCCTTAGACTGATATTATAGCCAATGACAGGTTTTCCTTTTTATAAAAGTAACAAAATATTATTAATATTTCAAAATATTAAGTAGGTGGGAAAGTTATTTTATTATTCTTCTTCTATCTTCCTGAATATATCATGAGGAACATGTTTAGCCAAGTAAGTAAACCCATGAAATTATAGATCTTTATTTCATCCACGAAGACGCGCCCCACCAATTTTTGGTCGAGGGAAGCGCGGGGTGTGGGGAGTTTGATCTGAGCAATCCGAGCGTCATTATTGTAGTGTGCGTGTGCACTTATATTTAGCGTGTACCGATAAACACTCAAACATTAGCGAAATAATCGTGGGGAGCGTCTTCGTGGATGAAACGATCTATACTAATTACTTAACTTACATAATTCCGAAATCATATTCTATAATACTCCCTATCCAAGGAGTTGCCATAGTCCTACATTTACCTACAATATAGGGAAATAATTTCAGCACCTACTTTATTGAAAAGGCTAAGTTCACGTTACGACCATGATATTATCGGGCTCGAATACCCACACATAATAAAAACAAAATGAGGTTGCTCGCTCGTAATAAAATATTAGAAAATGGCGCCCCAGTTGCTTTGGATAATGTAATTGTGTTAATAACGAATTTACAATCATGATGTTTGTATTAAAGTTTTCAGAAACTTTTCCATGGCAAATAAAGGTTAGTCTATGATTTGGTTTTAAAATCAGCATTATTTATCAGGAGAGATGGAAACCTGGCTTTAACAATAACCATAAGGATTTTAACTAAAATCTTTACAAAGAACAACGGTAATGATATTTCGACATTATTTTAAAACACAACTCTCTTAAACCCGTGTTCGCAAACGATACTTGCTTAAGTGAAGCAGCACAGCGTTGAATTATAGAGCTCTGTGATTGGTTCGTGTGTGACCCTGTGCGTCCACGCGCACTGTGAGACCTTGTGAGACGTTTGTGAATACGGGCGTTAAAAATTAACTAATATAAAAGGTAAATGAGTAAAAGCACAGAAAAAATGGTGTTTAGGACTGTTTCATCTCGTATGACATTGAAAGGTTTAATGAACATTGCAAACAAGTCGTAACGTAGAGTCGACACACATCTGACTATACATAATATTATTGCAAAATATCTCTTATTACAACTAATAAGCTCTTGCCTTAAGTATTTAGTTTTTACGCTGATGTCCTGTCGCCTGTAGGTACAGTCAGCGTCAAATATTTCGTGACATTCAAAGTTGCCAAAAAGTTGAACAACCTTATTCCAGTTGTAACAAAGACGTTGCGAACTTTTTGGCTACTTCGGGTGTCACGAACTATTTGACGACTGTACCTGCAGTTCCTTCAGACCTAAGCGGTATTCGCTACCGTCTGCGGCAGAGAAAACCCAGTGGGTATGCGGTAATACTACTGTTCAGACCTAAGCGGTATGTAATAGTATATGAAACCCGCGTGGTATGTACCTCTACCCACAGCGCGCAGCGGCAGCGAATATCGCTCAGGTCGCTCTAGCCGCGATACTTGATACTAAATACCTGAGCAAAACCCGCGCGGTATGAACCTCTACCCACAGCGGCAGCGAATATCGCTCAGGTTTGAATAGGCCTTAACGCCTCGATTGATCGTGGACACGCTCACTTTGGTTTGAGGAGTCTTTAAACCAACATCAAACGTTGGTTCAAACCGTTTGTTCGTTTTCGGTGCCCTTTAACGGTTTTTGCTAACATTCCTTGTGGGAACAATATTGAGCTTTTTCTCGCAGTAACATGACAGATGATGAGAAAAGTTAGCATGGGGAGGCTTTGTTAAGCAATATGGCTGTATGAAAACTCGTTGTTAGGAGGCGGTTAATATTTTATTTGACAACCACCTTTACTTATAATAATGTAATGAAACTGTAGAAAAAATATTTTTATTACGTTGGATACGAAGGGCCAGTTCAATTAAAGACTTGTAGAGTACAAAATTTTAGGTTTCATAATTTCAGTATGAATAAATGAATATCCATGGAATCCATTTTTAGATTTTTTCACTAATTTTGCTTGACAATAACATCCAGGTGCACATATTATTTTATTGTTACGATATTTCG